CACTGATAAGCTTCAGGGCCAGGAAAGGGGAGGCTGTACCCCACAAATCTCAGCCATGGACATCCACCCAGGAGCTCCCGGCCACCTTCCAGAGTCTTGACTCAGGAAGATGGTAAACATGGCCATTTGTCACTGACTTATCATAAGAACTGCGGTAGCAGCTGTTCCCCCTTAATTAATACACCATTGACTTTGAGCCTCAAAAGAAAAAAATCCCTTTGTTGAGGCAGGTGTGTGGACTCAAATCCATTATCCTGTCAGCCTCCCCCAAAAGGAAGGCACAGGAGAGTGGTTATACAGTAAGTCACCCAGCTTTTCCAAAACAGTCCTCCTGGGCATCCAGGCCAACCTCTCCACCTGTCCCCAGAGAAAGTTCTAGAGACAAGCAGAGAGTCTGAACAGAGGGTCCCATGACGTTCAGGGACAGAGAGGCAGGGGATGAGGGCAGGCAGGAGGACTCTGTGGGCACCGTGCCACCTGGTATCCCCATGTTTTCCCAGAGGTGACGTTGCACCCAGGTGGGGGTGGAGGCCTGGGGCTCAGCATCCTCAGCTCTGCCCTTCAGAGGCTGGAGATCTAGGGCAAACCACTTTATCCCTATATCTAGGCAAGTTACTACGTGAGGCTTTGTCTGGCTCATTCACTGCTGTGTCCCCAGCAATCAGAACACTGCCAGGCCCACAGGAGGCACTCAATAAATAGTCAAGAAATAGATGAATGGAAACCTCGATCCCAGAAGGAGGAGAGCCTGGTACTGAGGTTTTCTGTTTTGTTTTTGAGACAGACTCACTCTGTTGCCCAGGCTGGAGTGCAGTGGTGCAATCACGGCTCACTGCAGCCTCCACTCCATGGCTCAAGTGATCCTCCCACCCACCTCAGCTGCCTGGATAGCTGGGACCACAGGCACACGCCACCTGCCTGACTAATGTCTTTTTGTAGAGACGGGGTTTCGCCACACTTCCCAGGCTGGTCTCAACTCTGGGGCTCAAGTAATCGTCCTGCCTTGGGCTCCCAAAGTGCTAGAATTGCAGAAGTGAGCCACCATGCCCGGCCTGGCACTGGGTTTCTAAGGTCTGGATTCTTCCGGTTTCCTTTCAGGCTGGTTTTGTTTGCTCATGTTTCTTTTTCCAATCTGAGTGCGTCTGATCTGCCACAGCCCCAGCCCTCCGACTGCCTTGCAGCACACACCCCCCCCTGCAGGCTGCCTCTGGGAAGGCAGCCTTGTTCCGGACACAGAGGGGACGAGGCTGGACTGTCTGATATGGGACGAGGCTCCCAGCCTGGCCAGACAAATCGGCCAGGGGCAGCTGCGTTTACTTGCATTTCCTCGAGTGGGACAACCAGGGGAGCACCGAGGACCTGCCCAGCCCCCAGCATCACATGACAGAAGCAGCTGTGAAGATGGTCTAGCGGCCAGGCGGAAGATGCCCCTCTGCCAGGCACAGAACCACACAATCCCCAGAGTTTGTATAAGACGCTGGCCAGGAGGCCCTCCAAAACATGACTTCTCACCAGACCCATGAGTGACAGCTGAAGGCAGGTTTAACTTGGTTTCTAAAGAAAGCGATGAGATGTTTCTTCCTGCCAAAAGTGTGGCCCAGTTCATCACCGAGGCTCCTCCACGCAGGAGGATGACTGTCTCAGCATCGCAAGCGTGTGGTGAAACTCCAGGTATGGATGGCTACTTTGCAAACCATGAAAGTGCTGCCCACTAAGGGACCAGGACTGGGCTGCCCCGGCCAGGCAGATAAGCAGGAACAGTCCCGAGCAGAGTCTCAGAACGGGGAAAGAACTGAACGACAAGCTCTGAGAAGAGGTAGGGGAGGTATCACTGGTGATTACAGCCCAATCTCTAAGTTGCTGCTGTTAGTAAGGAGACAGGGGAAAGTACAGTAATTTTCTTCAATGAAAACAGGCAACAGAATTCCCTTTGCCTCGTTCCCCTTGCAATTAAGCCCTTCTCTGCAAATGAAATGATTTGGTTTTCATGGGACTAATTTGAGCACGTTGGAAGGACCGCTGAACTTTTTGATTGCAAACACCAGCATGTGCAAAACAGAATCCGGCAGCTACGCCAGGCTGGTGAGGCTGCCCTGCCGGTGGAGCTGAGGGCTTGAACAGGGCTAGGGTGGATAAACCCTGGCTGGGAGTCCAGCTCTGTCCCTAAGTCCACAACACTCTTCATGTGGCTGACCCTCTTCCTGTCTCCAGCTGCCATCTCCGCATCCAAACTGGGAAAGTTGGACTAGATCTGAGCTGACAGACTCAGAGGTCTCTGACATGCTTGGCGATGGAAGCGGGCTGAAGATGCCACACATTCCTTGCCACTCCTTTCATCAGGAAGTGGAGTCTACTTCGTCTCCCTCAAGTCTGCACTGGCCTCATGACTGCGTTGACCAGTGGAATATGGTGAGAAGGACACTGGCCAGGTCTGGTCTGAGGCCTCAGGAGGCCTTGCTGCCACCCCTTTTGCCCTCTTAGGCCCTGAGCCTCCACAGAAAGAGGTCCAGCCGCCCTGCTGGAGAGACCTAGCGGGGAGAGATGCCAGGCCAGCCCCCCGGTTCCAGCATCCCAGCTGACACACCAGATGCATGAGTGCAGGCACTTTGCACCAGCCCAGCTGCACCATGTAAACAGAGAAGGTGCTCCCACCACATGCTGCCCAAAGGGTAGACGCATGAGTAGATGATGGCGTCTTATGCCATCAAATTGCTGTTATTATAACTTTTTAACTTGAAATCGTTGAAGACTCACAAGATGATACAAAAATAGTACAGAGAGTTCATGTGTACCCTTCACCCAGCTTCCCCCAGTGATATATCCCACATAACCACAACACAGTATCGAAACAAGGAAACTGACCTTGATACAATCCTATTAACTTAGGTGGAGGCTGTATTTGGGTTTTACCAATTTTATGTGTGTGTGTGTGTGTGTGTGTGTGTGTGTGTGTGTGTGTGTGCGCGCGCGCGCGCACGCGCGCGCGCACACACACTTTTACGAAATGTCAGGGTGGCAGGCCTCAGAGTAGCTCCACCTAGGGGCAGGGGAAGCATCAGGTCCTGGGCGTGGGCCACATTTTCTAGAGGGCCTCTCTAGAGGACATATCTGAGAGGAAGAAGGGACCCCCCTCCCAACCAATCCCTGGGAGGGAGCACCATGGTAGGGCAGGGGCGGGGAGGGGGGGCAGAGCCCCATGCCCCCGTTGGGTCAGGGCACAGAACCATGCTTGGCGGCTGGTCAGAATCACAAGGACGCAGGGAAGAGGAGCAACCCTCAAAGGAAGGGATAACCACTAGGAGCAGAAGAAGAGAGGAGAGACATACATTGCAGAGCAAAGGAGAGCAGCCAGGGCAAACCCCGGGCACACAGACCCTAGGTGGGAGGGGAAGGACATTCCACACTGGACCCAGAATGAGCATCCAAGAGGTACTATGGGAACTGGGGGTGGCCCTGAGGGATAAGAGCCACTCATACAAAGAGTAGTCACTGAGGCCATTTGCCAAAATTCTGGTGCCAGAAAAGATCAGACTTCCCCACCCCTTTGAAAGTAGGCATGGCCATATGACTTCCTTTAGCCAATGAAATGTGAATGGAAGTGGCAAATGGCACTTCAAAACAGAACCAGCAAGAGCCCCTTCTTTTCCTCCGCCATGGTGTGGGGCTGCAGCTGGGGCTGCCCCTCAGCCTGGGTCCCAGAGCAACAGTGATGTGGAGCAGAAGCTCCAGCTGCCCCACAATGTGCAGTGTGACCGAGAAACCAACAGATGCCACACGTTCCTTGCCACTCCTTTCATCAAGAAGTGGAGTCTATTTCGTCTCCCTCAAATCTGCGCTGGCCCCATGACTGCATTGACCAGTGGAATATGGTGAGTAGGACACTGGCCAGGTCTGGTCTGAGGCCTCGGAACATAAGCCACCAAGAATCAGGGGTCTCGCTGCAGCACCTGCTGGCCTGTGCTGACTGGTACAAGTAACAGCCATCGCCATCTTCCCTGAGGGGAGGACACACCCTCGCATTGCTGTAGGGGAGGCAAGGGAACACCTGATTCCTTTACCCTCCAACATCCAGCGCCTGGAAGGTGGGGAATGGATGAGAAGGCTCTGGAAGGTCTATCCAGGCCCTGGGATATTCTGGCTCTGCTAAGCTTTGGTGCAGACACCCGAGCAGCATCTGGCAGACTCTGTAGTGAGGCGCTGCAGCCGATCTCTCCAAGCTGGCTACCCCTGCTGTGCAGTTACCACCTAGGCAAGGTCTGGTGTTCCCTGAAGAGAAGGATGAAGGAAGCGGTGCGCAGTAGGTGCACAGGCAAGGAGTCCTCATGCCACACAGACACGCCGGCTCCACCAGCAGCAGCCAGAGCCACGGCAGACAGGATGAGGTGCACATTCAGGCGCTGCATGGGCAGGGTAACAGTACGGGGAGGTCCATACAGCAGTACCCGGAGGGCCAGGGCCCATGCCCGCTAGTCAGCCTTGAACAAAGTTTGGTGGAAGAAGCCAGCAGGGCCCAACCAAGTCAGAGACTGTATAAAGGGGGAGGTAGAGTGGACACCCCAGAGGGGCCCATCTCACACAGGGACTCATGTGCAGAGCGCTGCTGCTGAGCGCAGGCCCTGTGTGGGGCAGGTGCCCATGATCCCCACCGGGATCTTGAAGGTGACTGGACAGGAGTGATGAGCCTGGGCCAGAGAGAGGGCAGTGCGTGCGTGTGCTCGCATGTGTGCGTGCTGCCACGCACGCGCAGCTTGTGCTCCAGCCACCCAGTGGGGGGAGGGGCTTCCTCTGAGACAAACACGCTCCATGTACCTTATCAAATTTGCAGATGCCACACAGCTGGGGGGAATGATGGCAAATATTCCAGATGACAGAGCTGGGATCTAAAGAGAAGCTGACAGGCCAGAGTGATGGGGTAGATCTAACGAGATGAAACTTAATAGGGACAAATGTGTTTATTTCACCTTATTTATTTATTTGTGTCCTGCCTCCACGTGCCGAGGAATTGGGAGGAACGAGGCTCACAGAAGATAAAAAGGGAAAGAACCACTGCCATGGGGGCCGCAGGGGCCTGGGGTGGGGAGGGCCGGGGGTCTGAGGTCCCGCGTGGGCTTAGGGGTTTAATGATGATGGTCAGGTCTATGGGCAACAGTGGCTGGCAGGGGCAGGGTTGGTTTGCAATATTAATAAAGGTGTAGCATCCAAGCTGGGGAGGGCAGTAGGGGCTCAGGAGCCAGGGCACCAGGGTTTGAAGCCCAGGTCCTGTTGGGCAGGGACCCAGCCTCCTCCACACCCTGTCTCTCCTTCCCTGTGACCAGGGCACCGCCAGCCCCTCCCTTTACACATCTCCCAGTGTGGCCGGGGCCTCTGAGATCCCCCAAAGTGCAGGGAAAACAGGTCAGCTTTGCAAGAACTCTCTCTCCACTCTCTCACCAAAGCTGACAGGGCCAGGCTTGGAGTTTCAGCAGCAGCTGAGGGTTGGCAGTTAGGGACCTCTCTCCCTTCTGGAAGGCACCTCCCAGTGCTCCAAGGGGGTTCTTACTGGGCCTCTCTCTGGGCTCTGGTTGGGAAGAAGATTCAGCAGGAAGTCAGTCACTTGCTCTAAACATCATAGGAGGGAGGGCTAGGCTGGTTCTGAGGACACATAAGCGGGCAGCACTGGGCTTTGTGAGCGGAGCCTCTGAAAACAAACCCCAGCTCTACAAGAGGAGGAAGGCCTTGGGCTGCCCCAAGAGGTAGTGAGGCTTCTGTCCCTGGAGGTATGTAAGCAGAGACTACATGGCCACTGAGCAGGAATGCTAGCCCTGAACGGGCGGACAGAGCTGGCTGTGCTGGTCTTGCCCCACGCCGAGACGGTGTGGTTCTGGGCAAGCTTTGGTGAAAGCTGGCCCGGGCTTCTCACCCAGAGGAATCCAAATCCTCCTGAACGTGGTTCCTCTCCCTTCGGAGCTGTTTGCTGGGTCTCCGTAAAATGAGAAATGGAAGGAGTTTGAGTAGCAGCCAGGGCTGGGGTTCCTGAGCATGACTGGGGCACTGTGGCCCTGGAGTGTGGCCAAGGTTCACAAAAGGGGGACTCCAGACCTCTGGGAACCAGAATGGCCCTGAGTCCCGCCCCTCATGCTCCTGCACAGCTCCTCACCCCGCATGTGGCCTTGTGCCCTAGGAAGCCCTGCCATGCTCTTCCCTGCTCCTTGTCCTTTGAGGGGCAATGAAGCCTGAACCCCAGCCCTGCCTCTCAGCACTACTGAGAACCCAACAGAGCTGGGTATCTGCTGGGCAGGGCTGGGCACAAACCTGCAGGAAGATGTCACTGCCACTCCCCCAAGGGTCAGTGTGAGACTAGGCCCAGACCAGCCCCCCAAATGCAGACTCCTGAGGCCCTGTCAGGCTCTGAGTGAGGGCCTCAGATCTGGAGGGGAGGGGCGCAATGGGATCAGACCCGTCTGCACTGAAGCCCCACTCACGCCACACACAGATATTTTCACACCCCATTATCCCCTTGCCTTCTTTCCCCTCCCCATCAGAAGATAAGGTGGGAGGGGGCAGGTGGCTCACTCCTCACCCTTTGCTATCCCTGGAGGGCTTCCAGGAGGCGGAGTCAATCCAGCTGCAGAGTCTGGAGGAGAAGGAGTGTGTCCATGTGGGGCCGCAGGGCCTGGTGGGGAAATAAGAACCAGCCAGAGAGGGACGAGCAGGTGGTGGGGGGCGGATGGCAGCACCTTTCACAGCATAGCTGGCAAGGCCTGGGCCCTGCATTCCAGTCCCAGGCTCAGCGGCTTCCTGACTTCCCGGCTGGGTGGCCTTAGATGACACACTTTCTCTGAGCCTCCCATTCACATCTGTATAATGGGAATGACACAGGCACCAACGTCGAAACTGTTGGACGGATTAAATGGCGTAGTGGACCAAGCCTGGCCCCAGCAGTATCTGTTGTTCTCATTATGATGAAAATGTGTGGCTGCAGAGAGTATAACTAAGAATAAACAGATGGAAGTAACCAGCATTCAGACTGCAGGTAATGCTAAGGAACTTTCAGAGGCAGAAGCGTCTCTGCCTGGAGCAGCCCCTGCAAGGTGCTGAGCCCCCTGTGCCGGGAGCATTCAAGCACCAGGTCGAGGTAGGGAAATGCCTGTGGGGGAGGGTGTTCGAGGGCGGCCAGCAGGGGTCAGTGGTGCAGCAGGAGGGGAGCAAGGCCAACCTCCCCACCAGTTCTGGGGACAGGGGTGACACCAGGACCAGGCTGCCTTGCTTCAGGGCAGAGTCCCCAGCCACTGGCCCTAAGCCCAGGCTGGGAGCTCTGACGAGTGTCCTGCAGGGGTCAGGCCAGGGCACAGACAGCAGCCAGGCTGGGCTGGGGCCACGGGAGAGGGGAGCTCTGAGGCCTCCAGTGAGGAGCCCCAGGCTGAACACAAGGGGCTCCAGGCAGGCTGTGGGGCTGGAGCAGGGGTGCTGGAGTCCCAGAAGACAGAGCTCTGGTACAAACCCTCAGAAGGGTCACTTGCACGGCCAGCATGGGGCCTGCTGATCAGGTTCTCTGTGTCTGAGTCTCCCAGGCCTTGTGTGTGAGGGTGGAGATTGTCTTCCCCTCCTGAGCACCACAGAGCAGCCTGCCAGGGTCCATCGAACCCCACCCCCAGCACTGAGCCCTCTCAGCTCCACTGGGGGCCTCCTGGGGCCAGGAGACTGAGGATGAGGAGACCGGGCCCTGGGAAGGCCAGGGATGCAGCCCTGTCCCCAGACCTTCGTCCCAGCTGACACAGCCAAACAGAGACACCCAGGATTCTCCCTCTTTGGCCCTCCAGGGCCACAGAGCATGGGGCCCGAGACCAGGCTGCCCTGGAGAGAAGGGGGTGTGGCAGGCAGAGCATGCAGCTGTCCCCCACTCTGGAGAGGAGGGGAGCGCCTGATGCATTCCTGCAGCCTGCCCTGGTGCACAAAGCTCCCAGAGCCGGCTGTTGGGGGTCCCAGAAGGAGATGAGGGACTTACTACTGCATCTGACTCTCTGAGGCTCCCATTCAGAGAGGGCAGCTGCAGCCCCAGGGACTGAGGCAGGGAAGCTAGGTCCAGGCAAGAGCGGGCACTGTCTCACAGCTGTGGAGTCAGACACAGAGGTGGCTGGGATGCCCTCTGCCCACTGGGGCCTGGCCAGCCCAGCCCCTCAGGAATGGGGGTAGGTCTCTCCTGGCCTCCCCTGGGGGAGGCTGAGTCAGAGCAGGGCAGCCAGGAGGGAAGGGGGCAGGCTGAAGGCTGAGCAGAAAGGGCACAGGTCCCTGGCAGGTGGACTATTTTGGAGCTAAAGGAAGCTGATGTCCCCCACCTCCACTCCCACCCCAGGAAAGGCTCTGCTGAAAGGGGAGAGTGACCCAGCTGACAGTGCTCAGGAGGGATCTTGGGGCTTCAGGGTGGCTCCAGGGACATAGGGAAGGTTCCCTGCCAAAACCAAGCCAGAGCCAAAACAAACAAAACCTCTCCTAAGAGGAAGAACCTGAAATCCCACCATTACAGATCCACTCTTTTAGCTTAACACTTTGTCCTTTTTAAAAATGCAAACCTCTCAGAGTCTCACCTACAAGTAGCTTTGTCAAAGGAGAGAAGAGAGAGGTTGCGTAGCCTCGTGGTGAAGAAAAATGGCAGAGGTGCAGCGAGAGAGCGGGCGGGGCTCCCAGGACTTCCTTGCGGGCTACACAGCTCTGGCTAACGGCCAGCTCTAAGAACACCTGCAGGAGAAGGGGGTTCTGAGTCTCCCTGTTCTGCTCCTGTGTGCAGGGAGTGAACAGACTCATGCCACTCCACTGAAGACAGCATGCACACAGGCACATGCCCTCACATACATGGAAACGTGCACACCTGTGCACACACGTGCATATGAGAAACTATATATGCAAACCTGCACCCTCACCCTTCAAGTCATGCATTAACAGGGAACCCAAGAAACGTAAGACCCTGAGGCCAGATGACCCATGGGGGAAGGGAGGGGGCAGAGTCTCCACTGCATGCTCCTAATACCTCTCTGGAGTGGCTGCTGTGAGCTACGTCCCGTCCAGGGTTTGCTTTCTAACGTAGGGTCAAAGCTTCCAGCCAGTGAATATTTGCGGCGCATCAGGAAGCTGCTGAAGGGCCTTGTGGTAGCTGAGAAGTGGAGCAATTAACCCTTAGCGAGAATTTGTTTATCCCATCATCATCTGTCTCTGACTCCCGCAGGCTCGGTCCCTCTCTGAGCCCTTAGCCATGCCACCTGTGCTGATCCACCTGCGTCCTTTGGCGCTTCAGCAGGGCAAGGTGGGGGGTCCACACTGGTGCATGAGCCCATATACTAGGGGCTTCCTTTTTTCCTTCCCCGCTACCTTTTTTTTTTTTTTTTTTTTTTTTTTTTGAGACAGAGTCTCACTCTGTCATCCAGGCTGGAGTGCAGTGGCAAAATCTTGGCTCACCGCAACCTCCGCCTCCCAGGTTCAAGCAATTCTCCTGCCTCGGCCTTCTGCGTAGCTGGGATTACAGGCACGTGCCACCACACCCAGCTAATTTTCTGTATTTTTAGTAGAGATGGGGTTTCACCGTGTTAGCCAGGATAGTCTCGATCTCCTGACCTTGTGATCTTCCCATCTTGGCTTCCCAAAGTGCTGGGATTACAGGGGTGAGCCACTGCGCCTGGCCCCTTCTTTTTTTAAAGGTCAGTTTGTTATAAAAGTGACACATGGCTGGGCGCGGTGACTCACACCTGTAATTCCCACACTTAAGGAGGCCAAGGCGAGTGGATTGCTTGAGCTCAGGAGTTCAATACCAGGTCAACATGGCAAAAACCCATCTCTACAAAAAATTAGTCAGGCGTGGTGGTGTATGCCTGTAGTCTCTCTGCAGGAGGCAGAGGAGGCCGTGAGCCAAGATCACACCACTGCACTTCAGCCTGGGTGACAGAGCGAGACTCTGTCTCAAAAAACAAAAAAGTGACATGGACATAATTTTTAAAAGTCAAATAGGATCTCATGGCTGCGAGAAAGAACATCCGTCCCTGCCCCATCCCCAGGCCTACTTCCACCTCTGTTGGCTGACTGAGCTCTGCGTAGCATGCATACACAACAAATTCATGGTTCTTTCATTTTGGGTTTTATCTATTGACTTATCAAAGATTGTATTTTAACGTCCCATTAGGAGGATTTAACTGGCCCATTGCCCACTCCCCCCCCATCCTGCCTCTATGCTTACCCTACAATTTTTATTCACTCAGCATCCCATGCTTACATTAGTGTTACAACATGTAAATATTATTCTAGCTACACCATACAGCATATTAGGATTATAGTCCTTTAATGTAAAACTTTCTGGGCAGGGCGCAGTGGCTCACGCCTGTAATCCCAGCACTTTGGGAGGCTGAGGTGGGCAGATCACGAGGTTAGGAGTTCAAAACCAGCCTGACCAACATGGTGAAACTTCATCTCTACTAAAAATACAAAAATTAGCCAGGTATGGTGGCACATGCCTGTAATCCCAACTACTCAGGAGGCTTAGGCAGGAGAATCGCTTGAACCCAGAAGGCTGAGGTTAGTGTGAGCCAAGATGGTGCCACTGCACTCCAGCCTGGGTGACAGAGTGAGACTCCATCTCAAAAAAAAAAAAAAAATGGTTCTTAAAGTTAATTTTAACTTGGTTGGTTGTTTGTTTATTCCCTGAGGTTTTTTGTTTGTTTGTTTTTGAGACAGGGTCTCACTCTGTCACCTAGGTTGGAGTGCGGTGGCGCCATCATGGCTTATTACAGCCTCAACCCCTTGGGCTGGAGAGATTCTCCCAAGTAGCTGGGACTACAGGTGCGCACCACCACACCTGGCCAGTTTGTTGTTGTTGTTGTTGTTGTTGTTTTTTGAAGAGATGGGTATCCTTAAATTGCCCAGGCTGGTCTCAAACTCCTAGGCTCAAGTGACCCTCCCACCTTGGCCTCCCAAACTGTTGGGATTTACAGTCCTGATCCACTAAGCTCGGCCCCTGAGATTTCTATGCACCTTCATCAGTTTATCCTCAAACTCTCTGACCAGACTTTAAACCTCCTCTCTAGGCAGTCACATACCTCTGGTAATCTGATCAGTCTGTTGTTCCTTTGTTCTTCCCTCCCTGGAGCACTGTGTAGGCCTGCAGAGCCCTTAGGCCCTGGGACTCCCCTCCACCACTCCCCAGCATCAGACTCCCTGCCTCCCAAACGTCATGCCATTCTCTTTCTTGGCTTATGTCCTCATTTTGGCGGAGGGCATTACCTGAGATCTTTCACCTGATCCCCCTGCCTTGGATGTTCATGGAACGTCCAGTTTCAGAGACTTTTGCCTTGTTCCTTGTTGGATCCCTTGGCGGTCGGCCCGTCCCTAAGTGGAGAGGGAGCTAGTCCCCACCTGCCTGTCACTCTTCACCTCTCTGAGCTGCGCTTTCTCGTCTGCGGTCCTCTCTGGCTCGTTCTCCCTGCGTTTGCAGGCACACACCTTTTCCCCCTTTGCTAACATTTAGCTGGGTTCTTGGATACAGTGCTTAGTTCACAGTGGGGATGAACTGGAAGCATGTCTCTGATTTCTTATTATAAATCCCACGAGACCTAGTGCAGTGCCTGGTACCTAGCAGGCGCAGCATAGATGGATAAATGAACAAATGAAGAAATGACAAAGAGACAATCCTCT